TAGCCAAGATGGTCTCGATCTCCTGACCTCGTGATCCGCCCGTCTCGGCCTCCCAAAGTGCTGGGATTACAACCAATTTCATTTTTAGCGAAGGTTTAAGCACCTGCATCACATATCTTACTTCAAGATAGCTAAGGATTTCTCACTTGGGAGCTAAAACGGAGGTTCAGACTCAATGATTCTTTTAAGACCAGTAATTCCGGTGGTTTCATTTAACAGTGAGGAAGACATTGAGTTGTAACACTTGTCACAGTTCTATAGAGCTCTCTCTAAGTTCACATACCTAGACGATTTGATTCACACATATTTATCATGAGATATGTAAAAATATTGACAATATTTCTTTTGTTAATTTTCCCCGAAAGAAACTGTCTCCCTCTCATTTTTCTCTGTTCCCAGAACTATCACAAACTCTGTCAAGAATGTCCCATTTAATTATTTACTTGGAATATTTTTTACCTTTCTGTAAAGCAAACACCTTGTTATCTCATCTCCCTATAATTACATTTCTATGAAGCTTTGGTCTAAAAGGATATATGACAGGCACCACAGAGGCTTAGTGGTTTTTTTGTTTTGTTTTGTTTTGTTTGAGACAGAGCCTTGCTGTGTCACCCAGGCTGGAGTGCAGTGGTTTGATCTCGACTCACTGCAACCTCCGCCTCCTGGGTTCAAGGGATTTTCCTGCCTCAGCCTGCAGAGTAGTTGGGATTACAGGCACCTGCCACCAAACCCGGCTAATTTTTGTATTTTAGGTAGAGACGGGGTTCATCCATGTTGGCCAGGCTGGTCTCGAACTCCTGACTTTGGGTGATCTGCCTACCTTGGCCTCCCAAAGTGTTGGGATTACAGGTGTGAGCCACTGCACCCAAGTCTTAGTGTTCTTCTAATAGTAAGCTGAAGGAGCAAGTCTGTTATATTAATTCCATTTCTACTAGAAAACAGAGAGAGAAAACAATTGTTTTTAATGGAGAAGCTGCAAAACTATAATTTGAAAGTGAAATTACTTATTTGAAACCCCAGTGCCTAGATAAGTGGCAGACACCTAAAAAGAGTTTAATTTCTGTTTGTTGAACAAATGAATTAATATATGCCCTAAAGATTCATTGCATGGCATTGATCACCACAGGCGTGAAGGATGCTACACACAGCAAAGTAGTTATAATCAGTGCAGATATATATTTATATTATTTCAGATTTTTGTTTTTTATTTTTTTCCTAAAAAATAAAATATCACCATCCATATTTCTCATGTAATTTTAAATGCCATTACAAATTGGTATTTGCAGCCATATTTAAGCAAATAGTGAAGAGTAATTTTTAATGGATCAAAAAGTAACATATGTAATACAGTGAAAAATCTTCATTTCTTTCCAAGTAGTTAAGTGAAAAACAGGAAACTCAAGCTAATCATGTGTGTGTGTTTTTGGTGTGTGTATGCACTCTCTTCCACTCTGTTGTTGTCCCATGAACATTAACATATTTAATCCTTTCCATAACATGCTGAGGCAGTTACTACGCTTATTTTCATTTTACAGTTTTTTACAGAAAACTGAGACTAAGATTATTTAAGTAACTTACCTCAAATTATATAACTGAATAGTGGTAGAACTGAGGTTTTAAATCAAACAGTGATTTTGGGACCCATGCTTTTAGCTACTATTCTACATTCTCGTTCTACTAGAATAGTAACACTTCCATAGGCTCTTGGCTAGAATATTACAATTTTAATACTGTGTAGGAAGCTCGGGAATTTAAAAAGAAAAAAAAACAGGGAAACAAAAACTGTAAAAATGGATTTCACTGTGACTCATTGAATTCAGAAATAGTTTCCCAGAAATGTGACTACTGGAATTTATCTCTGGGAAATAAATAATAATCTTTCTCTTTTTTTCCATTTTGCATCCTTAAAAACTCTATTTCAGTGTGTTCTCTGAATGTTCTGGTATCTCTGTGCTTTAATTAGCAGCTGTTTCCAAGTGTGATAGGTGATTCATGCTAGTCTTAATATTGTATATAATTGGATCTCTAAGGCAAATTTATCTGTCAGAGTAAAATTGATCTACAAGTAGCTCCCTCTAGCTAATACCTAAATTAGTTTCACCTGGACTCTGCCCTTTGATTCTTTCTGAATTATACCCAAGGAAGGAAAGATAACAGCTGGTGTAGGAAGCAGCAGTTTTATCCTAAAGATTCTAAGGTGAGTCCAAAGTGATTATAAAAGGAACAAGAAGACTAAACATATTTATAGCCCAACTTTGGAAAATCAAGCTTACTACCCACTGTATCTTAGAATATTTAGAACCCACTATTCAGAATGGAGAGTTTGAAGAGTACTAGCCAAGACTCTTACATCAGTGAACAGAAGAAAATTATGACTAGGGGTTTTGGATTCCATTATACCTTTTTCTATGGTGTAAACATAGATCCTATGTATTTGTCTGTTCCTCATGTTTTCTTCATAGTTTTAAGTAACTACAAACCTACTTACTCTTCTTGGGCAAAGTACACAATGGTCTCTCATTAAACAGAAAATGAGTGAGGCTTACTCAGAGGTAGAGCAAATGATGGTTTCTTTGCCACGGTTAGAAAAGACCCTTTCATTCCCAAGTTATATTATAAGGAGTCCCTTGCTTCACTAGGGTGGTGCCCCTGAGCTCCGTGCAAAATTTGTCACCTGGGCTCCATGTCTCGTCTCCTCCCATCACCTGCAGAACCTCCCCATAATAGTCATCTTTCTTATAACAGATATCTCAGTATACTTATTGCCTGGAACTGGTCCTGCTAGGTTATAAATTATCTTAAATTCTCTTTTTTAAATATCTAACTCCCCAAGCAATGATCTCCCAAAAAGGTGCGAATTTTGTCATCACTATTTAATAGAAAGAATGCTAAAGAAGAAATTGCAAGACCCAGACTTTGGAAATTGCATTCGATCTCTCTGATCATCAGTATATTCTTCTGTCACATTTAAGATACTGGCCTCACTAGTTTTTCCCAATGTGTTTTTTGAAGAACACTAATTTTGTTAGATACTCTGCAAACAAAATGATCCTGCTCTCAAAAAATTTGGAAAATACTCATATATTCCTTTTAGACATCAGTGACATATGGGTAAGGCTCTCAGAAATCCTGCAGTTAAAAAATAATACAAACAGGGATTAGGTTTATTTTATACGTGATTTTCCCCAAATTGTAAACCTCTTTTAAGAAAACATATTATATAATACCAGGATTTCAAGAGAGAATGTTAGGGACAATGAATCTGCAAAATCTCTTCCAGCATAAAACCTTTGAAGATTACAATCACTGTGTACCATCCATCAGCATATCACTGTTAAAGTCAAAATATACCTGTGGAGGTAAGAGATTAATTGGTTGCCTACTATTAACCTTGCATTTATATTCACCTGAAAAATTGTTCCGTAATCATTATGTAGTAAAACCGATATTAGAACGAACTGATAAGGAGATGAAATTAGTAGGACTTTACCAAAAGAAGTTTAGATGTAGAGGGAGGAGACCAAAGTATAAAATATAAGAACAGGCGAGGAGTGGTGGCTCATGCCTGTAATCCTAGCCCTTTGGGAAGCAGGAGGATGGCTCAAGCCCAGCAGTTCCAGACCAGCTGGGGAAACATAGCGAGGCCCCCTCTCTACAGAAAAAAATAAAATAAAAATAAAAATAAAATTAGCCAGGCATGGTGGCAGACTTATTTAGTCCCAGCAAATTGGAAGGCTTTGCTTGAGCCCCAGTGTTCAAGGCTACAGTGAGCTATGATTGAGCCACTGCATTCCAGCCTGGTTGGCAGACTGAGATCCTATCTCCCTAGATTTAATAACAGTAAGTATTCTGATGGAATTATATATGGAGTACAATGGAGATACAGGGAATGTTTGGCTAAACTGGGGACTAAACCGACTACATCAACATAAGAAGGTGTGTCTGGAGATGAGCATTAAGAAGGAGCCAGGATTTATCAATGAAGAACAAATGATTTTCTCAGAATATGATCATCCCCAGGGTGGAGGAAACAAGATGAGATGGAACAAGAAGCAGTGGTGAAGCATCAGAAAACTGCTAATGGGAGGGGAGAAAAATTCAGGGCATTGCCTGCAGGGAATATACGGGGCTGAGATTCTCCAGTTAGGCAGCTTAAACGGGAGTTGAAAATGTATGGAAGACACAGGCACATTTCCCTTGAAACCCTGGCTGTGATAAAAAACAAAACCTATGTAACAAATTCAGATTTCTAACTTTAAATATCCAGAAGGCTTGCTTTATATGATTTAGTATAACAGGGTGACATTTCATTCAGCTGCTTCATAAAAATAGAAAGTTACCTTTTCTTTTCTTCTAGGCTTACATATATACCTTGAGGGTATCCAAAGTGTTTCAGAGCAGACTGTATAATATGTTGCCCTGAGGTAGATAAATCCAAAGATGAAGCAAAATGTAACCAGCACAGAGGTCTGGCCTGATTTTAAGAACTATTTTCTAGGGAAAGGGAATGTAATTCATAATAAACATTTCTGGGGAGATAGCATTCCCAGCAAAGAGACCTATATTATTGTAAATATCAAGCAAGCCCAATCCTCTGCTTTCTCCTTACAACTTATCCGCCTCAGGTTGATCATAATAATAATGCATTCACTTCTACAGCATCTCAAATCCAAGGATTTCCGAGTGCTTTGTAAATGTGAATCAATTCTTAAGACACTCCTGCGAGGCAGGTAAAAACTGTTACTAATATTTTATAAAGAAAGTAATATATGAGAGACTTAACAAGTTCGCCGTCATTTATTTCTTGGTGCCTGAGATTCTGTGATGAAAATATGCATGCCTATGTACACACATACACATACACAGAGTGGGCCCTGACTTCTGTGGGACCACAGGTTAGAAAGAGGCATGTGTTTAAAAAAATCATTGTGATAAAATAGAATGTGAGTTACAGGATGCAGCCGTGTCTCAAAGGATGCCATGATCACCTTTGCTTGCAGAAATCAGCACGAGCTTCAGAAGGAACACGGCATTTGGTCACACTCATGAAGGATGATGAGGTGTTCAAGGCACAGGAGGTGAAGGAGGCAGAAAATACATTGTCTAAAAAGCCATGAAGACATGAAACTGCATGATGTATGTGAAGAACTGAAAGGAGTCTTGTATGGCTAGAGGAGGGGCCACAAACTCACATGCCTACCAGGCAGGCAAATCATGTAAATGGTAAGTATCTGCATGGAGATTCTGGTGACCTGTAAATCATGCCTTTGCCTCAGAAGGCAGGGGCTGCTACTCATTTCCAGCTGGGTTGTTGCCCTATAGGATTGGAGGCTCAGTGGTGTCATACATCCTGCTTTTACAAGATAAGCCAGACGTCAGAATTTTGAAATCCTCCTAGAGTGGGAAGGATGGTATGGTCTATCCAGTTCCACAGTGAGAGATGTTAGGGTCTTGCCTCTCATCGCAACTCACACAATGAGGAAGGATGTTCAGTGCTAGGTGGCACAAAATGAACATTTTTTTTTACCCAACGTATATTGAGATGGTGGTATAGGCAGCACTCTTATCTTGGCTTAGAAAGATTACTTCTTGTGTGCTTGAAGGCAAGTCAGTTAACCTCTCTGGTCTTAATTTCTATATCTTTAAAACTGAAGGGCTTGGGTCAGAGGAGCTCTAATAGTTCCCTAAAACTCTTTAATGTAATTGTTTTCATTGGCATTTCCACACACATAAAGAAGTCCACAAACGAGATACAACTTCTGTGAAATTTCCACAGTTCATAGTCATTATTAAGATAATATACAAGAATCCTAAAAAGGAAGGTTGGAAAGACAAAAAGAATGAACACACAGAAAACAAAGCAGTATACCTAATTTTAATCACATTACAAACTACATAAAATATTAATGAATTATGCATGCTAATTAAAAGACAAAAATAAAACAGATAAAATGTAAGACCAACTTTATGCTGTAAACAAGAGATACAACTTAATACAAAGTCATATATGGCCTGAAAGTGCATGGGAAAAAATATGTCAAGAATAAATATAAGAAGGCTGTAATATCTATATTAATATCAACTAAAATAAATGTCAAAACAGTGAATATTACCAAAAGATAAAAAGAAACATTTAATAATGATAAAAGGGCTAATTAATTAGGAAGAAGTAATGGCCATATATTTGTATTTACTTAATAACAGAACCTAAAAATGTTGAAAGCAAAAATTGACAGAAATGCAAGGAGAAATGAAGATTTCTGCAAGACCACAGGGGGAGATTTGAACTCCAGATTCTCTGCACTAGATAAAGATACCAAGAACATGCATTAGGGAAAGGACAGTCTCTTCAATAAATAGTGTTGAGAAAGCTGGATATCCATTTGCAAAAGGATGAAACTAGACCCTTATCTCTTTGTGCTTAACAGGACAACTAGACAAAACAATCAGTAAAGACCTACATGATCTGAACAGCACTATCAGCTAAATTGACAAGAAACTACAAAACATATTTTTTTCAAGTACACATGATACATGATACACTGTCCAATATATAGTATTTATGGGATCATGAAAGAAGACTCAGTACATTTAAAAGAACTGAAATCATGCACAGCATGTCCTTTTACACTGAATGCATTAAAACAAAAATTAATAAAAATGAGTTATCTAGGAAATCTTCAAATATTTAGAAATTAAACAATACATTTTAAGTGATCTATGGGTCAAATAGGAAATTATAGACATTTAAAAATAGTCTGAAAATAATAAATATTAAAACTCAACACATCAAAATGTATGAGATGCAGTTAGTGTAGTGATTTAAAAAATGTATAGCTTTAAATGATTTTACTAGAAGTGAGGTCTAAAATTACTTGAGATGGTCATATGGTTTTTGTCCTTTATTCTGTTAATATAATGTATTTTGCTTATTGATTTGTGTGTGTTGAATCATTCTTGCATTACAGGAACAAATTCCACTTGATCATTGTGAATGATCTTTTTGAGGTGCTGTTGGATTGGGCGTGCTAGTATTGTGTTGAGATTTTTGCATCTGTGTTCATCAGGGATATCAGCCTGCAGCTTTTTGTTGTTGTGGTGGTCTTTTTTTCTGGTTTTGGTATCATTGTAATGCTTACTTCTTGCAAGGAGTTTGGAAGAATTCTCTCCACTTCAATAGTTTTGTAACAGTTTGAAAAGAATTGGTATTAGTTCATTTTTAAATGTTTGGTAGAATTCAGCTGTGAAGTCTTGGATCCTTGGCTTTTTCTTTTTAGTTTAATTTTTAATTTTTGTGGGTACGTATTAGGTATACATTTTTATGGGGTACATGAGGCATTTTGGTACAGACATGCAATGCACAATAATATCAGGAAAAATTGCATTTATCCTTTGTCTTACAATCTAATTATGCTTTTTCAGTTATTTTATAATGTACAATTAAATTATATTTACTGTTATTTATTTAGTCAAGATAGAGTCTTGCTCTGTCACCCAGGCTGGAGTGCAGTGGTACTATCTTTGCTCACTGCAAGCTCTGCCTCCCGGGTTCAAGCAATTGTCATACCTCAGCCTCCTGAGTAGCTGGGATTACAGGCATGTGTCACAACACCTGGCTAATTTTTTGTATTTTTTAGTAGAGATGGAGCTTTGCTATGTTGGCCAGGCTGGTCTTGAACTCCTGGCCTCAAATGATCCACCTGCCTCAGCCTCCTAAAGTGTTAGGATTACAGGCATGAGCCACCATGCCCGTCCAGTTAAATTTGTATTGACTGTAGCCCTCTTGTGCTATCAAGTATAAGGTCTTATTCATTCTTTTTATTTTATTTGTACTGGGATTTTTTGATGGAAGACTTTTTGTTGCTGATTCAATCTTGTTACTTATTATTGGTCTGTTCAGGTTTTCTGTTTCATCATGGTTCAGTCTTGGGAGGTTGTATGTATGTAGGAATTTATCCATTTCTTCTAAATTTTCCAATTTCTCAGGTTGTAGTTGTTTATAATAGTCTCTACTGATCCTGTGTATTTCTGTGGTATCAATTGTGAGGTCTCCTTTTTCACCTCTGATTTTATTTGAGTCTTCTCTCTTTTCTTCTTAGTCTAGCTAAAGATTTGTCTATTTTGTTTGTCTTTTCAAAAAACCAACTCTTCATTTCATTGATCTTTAGTGTTTTTAATCTGTATTTTTGTTTATTTCTGCTCTGATCTTTATTACTAAGCATCAGTGAACTGCAGATCAAAACCACAATGAGATATGATCTCACCCCAGTTAGAATGGTTGTTATCAAAGAGACAAAAAAATAACAAATTTGTGCAAGGATATAGAGAAAGGGGAACTCATATACTGTTGGTGGGAATGTAAATAAGTGCATTCATTATTGGACTAGCACATTCATACTGTCCATCAAGGTTCCTCAGAAAATTAAATATGTAAGTACCATATGATCCAACAATTCCACTGCTGCATATATGTCTGAGGGAAAGGAAATCAGTATTTCAAAGAGATATCTGCACTCCCATGTTTATTGTTGCACTTTCACAATAGCCAAGATATGGAATCAACCTAGGTATCTATCAATGAATGAATGGATGAAAAAATGTGGTATACATAGGAATACTTTGCAGCCATAAAAAGAACAAAATAGTATCCTTTACAGTAACATGGATAGAGCTGGAGGCCATTATCTTAAGCAAACTAACACAGGAACAGAAAACCAAATACCACATGTTCTCATTTATAAGTAGGAGCTAAACAATGAGAACACATGGATGCTAGGAGGGAAACAACAGATCTGGGGCCTACTTGAGAGTGGAGGGTAGGAGGAAGGAGAGGATCAGAAAAAATACCTATTGGGTACTGTGCTTATTACGTGGATGATGAAATTATCTGTACCCCAGAGCCCCGTGACACACAGTTTACCTATATAATAGATCTGCACCTGTACCCCTGAGCCTAACTTAAAAGTTAAAAAAAAATCAAGAATCTTTTTAAAAATGTGATACACACACACACACACACACACGCACACACAATGGAATGCTATTCAGCCATAAAAATTAATAAAATCCGGCTAGGCACAATGGCTCACTCCTGTAATCCTAGCACTATGCGAGCCCAAGCCAAGTGGAGATCGTATCACTGCTCTCCAGCCTGGGCAACAGAGCAAGACTCCATGTCAAAAAAATAACAAAAATAATAAATAAAATAATGAAATCCGGTTATTTGTACAACATGGATGAGCCTGGAGAACATTATATAAAGTGAAATAAGACAAGCACAAAAGGACAAATACTGCATGATATCACTCAAATGTGTAATCTAAAAATGTTGATCTCATGGAAGTAGAAAGTTAAATACAGGTTACCAGAGGTGGAGGAGAGCAGGAGGGTGGGAGGGATGGGGAGAAGTTAGTCAATGGATACAAAGTTACAGTTAGATAGCAGGAATAAGTTCTGGTGTTCTATTACACAGTAGGGTAACTATAGTTAACAATGTATTTTATATTTCAAAATATCCAGAAGAGATGATTTTGAATGTTCTCACCACAAAAAAATGACAAATATTTAAGGTGATGGATATTCTAATTACTCTGATTTGATCATTATACAATGTATACATATATCAGGACATCACAATGTACCCCATAAATATATAAAATTATGATATATTAAGAAAATAAAACTTAAATTAATTACTTAAGATGCTAAAACAATATAGTCCAATTGGGAGAAAAAACCTTTTCAATAAATAGTGCTGGAATAATATGGAAAAAATAAGCTTCAACCCTTACCTCACACCACACATAAAATTTAATTTGAAATAGATCATGGGTTTACATGTAAAGAATAAAACCGCAAAACTTTTAGAAGACTCATAAGAAGATTTTTCATCACTTGAAAGTAGGCAAAGATAATTTAGATAGGTCACAGAACAAAATAACTGTGTAGTGAAATATGGTATATTAGTCTTCATAGAATCTACAAATTCCTACTAATAAAAAGCACAATTAAAATGAATAGATAAGCTGCACAGTCAGAGAAAAACACTTGTAATATATATTGGACAAGGGACTGATATCCAAGATTTATAAATAATTCCTAAATTTAGAAGAAAAAAGGCAATGCAATTAAAATGATTAAAAGATTTGTCCATATACTTCCTAAAAGAAGATATATGAAGGAGCAATAAGCACATAAAGAGATGTTTGATGTCATTAATTATTAGAGAAATAAAAATAAAAACTACAGTATGTGTTATTACATACCTGCTAACATTTTAAAACTGGATAAAACCAAATGCTATTGAGGATGTGGAATAACAAGAACTTTTGTACATTGTTGGTTGTGATATAAGATGGTTCAGCATCTGGAGATAAAATTCTGGTGGTTTTTATCAAAATAAATATACCTACCTCAGGACCAAGTAACTTTACTTCTAGATTTCAACCTAAAATAAATTAAAACATATTCCCAAAACAAATACAACCACGTGTCACTTAATGATGGGGATATATTCTGAGAAACATGTCATTAAACATTAGAAATGCATCATTAAGTAATTTTGTTGTGTAATAACAGAGTGTACTTACACAAATCTGGATGGTACATACATATATATGGAAACCAAATGTCCCAGCACCATTACTGAATATTAATCATTTCACCTGCTTGATCTGCAATGCCAATATCAAATGACATGTATCAGCTTTCTATATGCTTCATTATAATATTATGGGACCTCTATTGTATATGCTCCATCATTGACCAAATCATGATTATGTGGCAAATAATTGTACATGAATTTTCATGGCAGTTTTATTCATAATGGCCAAGAAACTGGACATAGCTTATTTATAGAAGAATGGACCAGCAAACTGTGGTATGTTCATATGTTAGAGTAGTATTCATTCAAAAGAAAGCAACAAACTACTGTCACATGAAAAACCATTAGACTAAGTAAAATAAGTCTTATGCAACGGATAAACTGTTTGATCAGAGTTATATGAAATTGTGGAATATCCCAAACAATTTTATAGTGTTAAAAAGAAAGAAAGGAAAGGAAGGAAGGAAGGAAAGAAGGAAGGAAGGAAGGAAGATAAAGAAAGAAAGGAAGAAAGAGAAAGAAAGGAAGAAAGGAAGAAAAAGAAAGAAAGAGAAAGAAAGAGAAGGAAGGAAGGAAGGAAGGTTGCTTCTCATGTTCTCAGCAGCAGGGGAAGAATATACTGCAAAAGGGTTAGATTGATGATAATGGTCTGTATCTTGATAGGAATTTCAGATATGCAGGTACATGCATTTGTCAAAACTCAGTGAATGCACATGTAATATTTGTGCAATTATTTGAATGTATGGTTTATATCAAAATAGAAATAAAATCAAATATATTGAATTCAGTAGATGATATGCATGTTGAAATACAAAGACAAAGTGAGGCCTGGTGTGGTGGCTGAGATGGGAGGATTCCTTAAGGTCAGAAGTCCAAGACCAGCTTGGACAACATAGTGAGGCCTTGTTTCTACACAATAAACAAACAAACAAACAAATAAAGACAAAGAGAAATCATATCTGCAGTTTATTTGGAAATGAATTAAAACGTATATGGATTAGATGGATAGATAAGTGGATAGATGGATAGATATGTGATAAACCAATTATAATGATAGCAATAGAATCAGTGATGATATATGGAAGTTCTCTGTAAAATGTTGCTGTTTGAATATTCCCTTAAAAATTGTGAAAATTAATTTTATTTTGAATACTAGCAATGAAAAAATGAACAATAAAATTTAAAAATATTTTACTATTACAGCAGCATTAAAAAGAAAATAGGAATAAATTTTAAAAATATATATGTATAAGATCACATACTGAAAAGTACAAAATATTGCTGAGTGAAAGACCTAAGCAAATGAAGACATATGCTTTGAGTCACCAGGGAAATGCAGTTTTAACAATGGGATACCACTCTACAACCACTAGAAAGATTTAAAAAGATAGAAAACATCAAGAGTTGGTGAGGAATGGAGAGCAACTGGAACTCTCATATATTGTTTGTAAGAAGGTAAAATTTTACAAATTCTTTGGCAACATTTAGGCAGTTTAAACTTAAGCATGCACGTACCATGTGACTCAGAAATTCTATTCCTAGGTGTCAACCCCAGAGAAATGAAAACATGTATCTACACTAAGTCATAATAGCTTTATTCATAATACCACCGAAGTAAATATAACTCAATATTCATTCAACAGATGAATAGGTAAGCAAGTTATGTTTTATTTATAATACAGAACTATATTTTATTTTATTTTATTTTATTTTATTTTATTTTATTTTATTTTATTTTTTGAGACGGAGTCTCACTGTGTCGCCCAGGCTGGGATGCAGTGGCGCGATCTCAGCTCACTGCAAGCTCTACCTCCCGGGTTCATGCCGTTCTCCTGCCTCAGCCTCCCAAGTAGCTGGGACTACAGGCGTCCGCCGCCACGCCCGGCTAATTTTTTTTTTTTTTTGTATTTTTAGTAGAGACGGGGTTTCACCGTGTTAGCCAGGATAGTCTCGATGTCCTGTCCTCGTGATCCACCCGCCTCGGCCTCCCAAAGTGCTAGGATTACAGGCTTGAGCCACCGCTCCTGGCCTATATTGTATTTTATAATAAAATTTGTATCTGATAAAACATACAGAATATTGATATACATAACAACATGGATAATTATAAAAAACAAAAACAACAACAACAATAAACACAGAGTGAAGAACTCTAAACACAAATTTTATTCATAGAAATTCTAAAAAAGACAATAATTTACCATGAGAGTGCACCAGTGATTGTTTAGGGTCACGATTAGGGACTTGATTGGGAAGGGCACAGAGGAAGTTTTTTGCATGATGGAAATGCTCTATAGTTGATTGTTGTAGTGGTTACTTAGGCTTATGCATTTGTGTTGAAAATGTCATTCTTCCTTCAAATCTCCATCTATGACCTAATCTCTTTCTAAACTTTTTCATATTAGCAAATGATACCACCATCTACTTGATTGATTGAGCCTATATCCCATGCATTCTTCTTGACTATTTACTTATGTTCTACATCTAAAACACCACACAGTTTATGCTGTATTTTGAAAATATTATTTAATCAGTTCACTTCTCTTTCTTTGTAGTGCTACTCTTCTTCTAAGTCATCATGATCTCTAACCTAAATTACAGTAATAGCCTCCTAATTGGCTGTGGTCTTCTATTCTTGGATTCCATAGCTCATTGTTTACACAACAGCTAGAGTGGATGTAAAAAAATACCTAATAAATAAACAAATAATAATTCAACTTTTTTTGTGGCCTACCTGGACCTCCTTGATCTGGCATTGCCTATTTCCCAGCCTCTTCTCCTTCTTCATTGTACTCTAGCCACACTGAGCCTCTGTCTGTATTCTGAATTTGCTGAGCTTGTTGCCATCTTTGGAATACTGTATTACCATTCTTTCTGTCATCACTCTTTCACAGTCTCATTGAATGGTTCTTTTCCATACTTCAGGTCTCAACACAAATGTCTCCTAAGTAATGTCCACTTAGAGCATCCTTTTGAAATTAACTGCTTGCCTCTCCCCACCGCACACACCTCTTATTCTCTATCACGTCATCTGTTCTTTTTTATTTTACAGTATATTGCATTCTGAAATGACTTATTTGTGTTTTTGTTTAATGGTTTATGTTTTCTGTCACTTGAATGAAAACATGTAGGATAATTGTCAGCCTTGTTTACTGCTGTATCTTGAGAGCCCAAAACAATGCTTTGCACAGAAGACTTTCATAAATATTTGTTGTATGAATAAACATTATGACCAGCACTTTGATTAAGTATAGGAGGAAAATCAGATGAGTATTTAAAAAATTATTACATTTTGTGATTATTAAAGTAACAATCACTGAAAAAATTTGAAAAATATACAAATCATAAAAGGGCAATAAAACCAATATCTAGAGGTAAAATATGTACAATTTTGGTGACTGTCCTTCTCGTTTCTGTCTCTATCTTCCCTTCTGTCTCCCCATTTCCATCAAAAAGGATTATTCTGAATTACCACTATTGGTCCTTACCTATACATATCATGTATTTTTTTCAATTGATTAAATATTTATATAAAGCATGATTTTTAATGGATGCATAGTAATCAATTCCAAGCTGGTATTTACCTGCTTTCTTATTGTTAAACATTAAAGTCTTTGTGCCTCATTTGCAGATTGGGATAATAAGACCCATCACTCTCTAGGATTATCATGAGGATTAAAAAAGTTTAATGATTGTTAATTGTTTAGAACAGCTCCTGGCACAGCACTCAGTAAAAATGAGATGATGATAATAATTGTTAAGATTACTAATTTTTTAAGTTAGTTCTATAAAACTTTTTCTTTTCAGATCAAGCTATAAAATGTCATGAGAAGCATGGAACCTGAATAAGCCAATGGGCCTAATGTGAGTACCACATGTGAGGACAACATATGACAGACATATCAAGGACTTGTGCTTCTTTCTTCTTCTTATTCTAGTGGCTATACTGACTGACTCTGAGATAGCTTGATGTAGAATATAATTATTAATAAATAGTTCAAGCCTTTGAAGTGCCACATAAAATTCCAGAGGAATGTATCTCCAGGAGTCTCAATTTCCCAATTTAGTATATAATTAATTTAAGCTTCATAGAGGAGAAGTGATGTGGTCACTTTTAATATAAGGCATTCGTTGCTGGAGTTCTCATTTCTCTCATTGCCTGTCTCCTATAATATTTAGCTTCCTCTAAAACATTAATGCTCTATGAATGACTTAACATAAATATTTGAAGAAAGGATACTACTATATGGAAAGAATTATAACAATCCTGACTTTAACTCTTCTACTTTCTTTCTGTGGATGGCTTGTTTTGCTTTCTCAAGAACCCTCTTCTCATGAGGATTTAGCCTCAACGGTCACTATGTTGTCTTACTAAGACTACTTTTCCCATCCTGGAGCTTCGGACCTACAGGCTTTTGGTATCCTCTAAAGACATTTTACATGTGTGGTAAACCCAGATTCAGGTTCTGATCATTGTCTGAAACCTCTCATTTATGACATTGAGTTAGTTGTTAATTATATGTATTTGGGGTAGAGTGTCATCTAGCTGATTGCTTGCTGCTTTCTCTATGAGCTGCTGAACACAAGTTTCATTTCATGTTTTTAGTAGCTGTAACCAGGAAAATGGATTACTGAAAAGATAACAATCTAATGTAGCTCTATGTAGGAAATTGTATATGGTCCATTTTTCAAACCACAAGAGAAAAACAGAATAAGTACCCTTTGCAGGTACTTATATTTAGGCTTACCGTTTTAGAAGTGGTTTTGAGAGGAGCCCATCCTCTGCCTGCAGGGATGAAACCTATCGAAATCCATCCACCACACTATTCATGTTTAAGGGTTCAAGTGCTCAATAGCCACATGTGGGTAGTGCCTACTGTATTGGATGTTTCCATCACCACAGAAAAATCTAGCAGATTCTAGGAGATTCATGGCTTATGTTTTTCTGTAAATAATTTGAAAAGCAAGTGAAAATTACTACTGATGTGGGGGTTGCTAATGGGCTAGCCTCTGGAGGAGGGAGTCAGCAAGGCCATAGCTAGTGACAAAAGGAGGTGGAGGCAGTACATGAGCCCAAGAAAGTGGGCAATGAAAGTAGTGCTCACTAGGCGAATGTAGATACGTCGGATATTCTAGAGAGGCAGAATGATAGACCTGAGCTGAAGAATGAATTATAGAAGAAACCAAGATATTGTCCAATTGCAGGTTGGATTAGTGATAGCTTTTCACAATTCCTTCAATAATCTTTATAGTGGGTTAAATAACTTTATATATTATATACATATACATATTTATAATGTATAAAAATACTCTAGTCAAAATTCAAAAATAAAAGAATGAGCAACATGGGCATTCAACAGATTGTAAGACCGAATCTCTTGCATCATTCATGGTTGTGGGATTCGAGACAGACAGAATGGCCATTTGTCATTAAAAGGCTGGTTATGTGCAAAATCAGAGCTTCAGACTGAACATTAAGTGACTCTTCAGCGAATGTGCTTACAGCTGCATTGAGCTGGGGCCCAGTGAGATCTGAACAGAGGCTGTCTAGGCATTAACAGACAAGGAAGGAGTCAGGGAAAATATTATCCTGGAGAAGTAGCTAATGAGTGTAAGATTCAGTCTGTGACACATGGGTGTTCCGAGCCTGGGAGCCGGCATCCTATGTTTCTCAACCAATGGGCAATTCCATGACTGCCTTGGGGCTGAAATGGTGGAGAACAAAAACAATTGCTAATTCTCAGGCTTATTTATAAAGGGATACAATTCTATTAGAACCATTTTAACATGTTCCTAAAAGGAAAGGTAGTATACTGTGTACTTTTGTCACCCCAAATCAACGTACCCCACCCCCCCTCCCCCGATTTCCAGCTCCAACAATGATACCTTCTCCTTTTCTGAGTTAGAATGGGAGCTGGAATTTTCTATGAGGGTCATTCTGACCTTCATTCCCCTCAGGCACAGACTGAGAAGAAACGAAAACTCAACTGTATCTCAAAGTCTGTAGTTTGGTAAGTCTCAGCCTTTTCCCGCCATCTTTTGCTGGCCCTGCATTTACCATGTTACTACCAAATAATAGTAATAAGAAGCAGCAGCAGATCTAGATCATCTCAAGACTGAAGGTGCAGCTAGGGGAAATGGATCTGCTTCTAATGGATTTTCATACAAATCTCACACACTTCTTAGGGGTGGTGATTCCTATTTGGGAAACTTTTCTAGATTAGTGGTTTTATTTCTTGTTATTTTTAATTAGTCAAAAATGTAAACATAAAGAATTCTTTTCAATACTTAGAGACCTGGATTTTAAATGAAACCTGATAATTTAGTGTGGTTTCCTCCGTTTACTGAAATGCATAAGGAGAAGGTTCTTTTAGTTTGTTGAGATATTTACTCTATGATACTATAGTATTTAGAATGGGGACTGAATGTTATCAAGAAAAAAATCAAATGTTTAGCAAGGATAAAGTGTGTGTGATATGTGTCAGAAATTTTCATCTGAAATGACTAAAATATACACTAGCTTTTTAATTATAGAAAAATTTAAACATATACCAAAGTAGAAGAAATAAGAAAACCCCATGTGCCTATTGTCCGGCTTCAACAATTATCAACATGTACAATACTGTTTCACCTACAGCCCTTCTCTCTATAGCCCTACCTCTCACTGTTTGAGTTTGCTGGAAATCCTAGAAATTATATCATGTCATCAGCATGCATATCTGCAGCATAAGGACTTTTTTTTTAACATCACAAGCTTCTGGTTTTAACTACAGAAAATACAGGATAGCACATTAAAGGGTATCAAAAGAATACAATCAGCAAAATTTGCAATCCTGAAAATTCTACGTGGTGAAAACTCAGTTTCTTTAACAAATAAATTACAATGGATAAAGTAAGATTAAGAAAAAACCTATAAGTGGAAGAGATGCAGACACACATTGATTCTAATCAACAATTATGAGACAATTAGGGAAATTTAAACAATGACTGGATATTTGATGATATTAAATGATATTAAGAAAATACCACATACTTTCCCCCCTCTTTTTTAAAGATAGGCAAGATAATGACTTTATGGTTGTGGCAAGAATGTAGTTTAATACTTTACCATTGAAAAGTAATATTAAATCCTCATCTATCTGGACAGGTTGATAACCCAGAATGATTCTTAACTGAAGAGCTGTGGGAAATTCTTCTTTCTGTGGTAATTTTCATTTACTAAATAGGAGAAAAGTGACAATGAAATATAAAATAAAATAAAAAGTCCTGAGCTCTAAGGTAAACCTACTGACATCCGATTTCTTTTGTTTTGAGAAGCCAAGAGCTGGTATTTTTTTTAAGGGTTAAAGAACAGTGCAGGGAAGCCATTGCTATGTAAGTGTTTTTTTTTTTTTTCTAATACATCTAGAAACAAACCTGGAGTTTAATAGTACTTCTCTGCTTTTATGAATTTTGGCTTACTAAAAGTAGAGGAACCTGTTATGTTGTGAATACAGTTTACACACCCTCCTCTGTCCTGCAGGGGTGACATAGGCAATTGAAAAAGGCACAGAGAAGATTTCTTGGGCTTTTTTTTTTTTTTAAAGCTTTCCACACCATGCCATATATTTAAATAACAGGCTAAGATGGGGAGTGATGAGTCTCTCAAGGAAATAAAGACGGTGCACTCATTAGAAGGCTCATTAAGAATAAAGTGCAGGAAGGGGGCTCTGAGAACAGACTCTCATCCTAGTATTTATTAGGACAAAGCACTCTCTTTAATGGGGCACCTAAAAAGCTCTCTGCTGCAGTTATTATTAGGCATTAGTGCTTTTACTAACTTCTTGGGATCGACTTTGCCCTTCTCTCTGCCTTGGTAAACAGTTGACAACAACACCCTTGTGTTCCAGGCTCCTGTGGCAAATTCATTTTCACTTTTCCTGTCTGTGCTCAGGAGTCCTATGCTTCGAGTCTGTGAGGGCACTTGAAAATTGGACCTCCCTTCAGAGCAAATTGAAGGATGTCACCACACTTTATTGCTTATTTCTTCTCCTGAGTCCTTCTTTTTTTCCTTCATTGTAGATACAACTCAACTCGTTAGCTCCCTTTTTTTCTCTCTCCCCAAAGGCAGCTGTTGGCAAACTTTTGGAAGGATCCAATAATACAACTAGTAAAGAGTTTAAGCTTTGTGGCCCATAGGGTCTCCGTTGCATGTGGTAATGCAAAAGTAGCCACCGACCATACATAAATAAATGTGTATGGTTGTACTTCAATAAAATTTTATTTACAAAAATAAGTGGTGGCCAGGTTTGGCCACAGGCTGTAGTTTGTTAACTTGCATCATAATGTTCTAAAAGGGAAGTTCTCATTCCACTTATGAAATAAAAGTAGCCATGTAGTATTTTCAGAGTTTTAATTTTGTTCATATGATGGTTCATCATTTAAATTTTTTTTTGTTTTTGTTTTTGTGAGATGGAGTTTCACTCTTGTTGCCCAGGCTGGAGTGCAATGGCACAATCTCGGCTCACTGCAAACTCCTCCTCCCAGGTCCAAGCGATTCTCCTGACTCAGCCTCCTGAGTAGCTGGGATTACAGGCATGCACCACCACACCCAGCTTATTTTGTATTTTTAGTAGAGAAGGGGTTTCTCCATGTTGGTCAGGCTGGTCTCGAACTCCTGACCTCGGGTGATCTGCCTACCTCGGCCTCCCAAAGTGCTAGGATTACAGGCGTGAGCCACCACTCCTGGCCCGTCATTTAAGTTTTTAATACTAGCTATGTGCCAGGCTTTGTGCTAGGTACTGAGAATACAGAATCATAAAACCCAAGAAGATTACCATCTTGTAAACAGTTGGACAGACAAGCAAATAGCTACAACGTGATCT